CACACACACACACACACACACACACACACACACACACACACACACACACACACACAGAGGGCTGAGCTCAGATTAGAGGGTTAGGGAACCTGTAATCATAAGCTGCTGAATATTCTGTAAAACGTCACAATTACAGGTTCAAAAAGACAAAAAGCACAAAATGTTTGTTTTTAAACGAGTTAATCTTTATTTTCTTTCACTCTTCGGCTTATTTTACAAGAAAACTGCTGATGTGCTGTAAAAGTTCTTACAGCTTGTTGAGTCTTCGTCTTGGTCTGTTTTTAAAAAATATTTAGTCATTTTAATGAGACGACGTCCTGTTCACCTTATTCCTGGGGGTGCTGCYGTAGAAATGATCGTGGGCACCACTTCCTGTCAGAAACAGGAAGTAGAAAGCTTTGGTTAATCAAGGCATGGACCGCGGTTTATTTGAAAGTTGTTTGTGTTCAGATTATCAGAACATGTCTAACATGTCTAAATCATATTGTGTCCCACTTCTTCAAAACAACAAAACACGACCGGACTGTTTATTATTATTATTATTTTTATTATTATTATTATTGTTGTTGTTGTTGTTGTTGTTGTTGTTGTTGTTGTTGTTGTTGTTATATTACAGTGTAAGTAGTGACACAACTCAGAGATTTTCAGGTTATTCATGGCCTCACCATCTGAAGCAACCGAGTCAATGACATGGATAAATATACTATATAAAACCTGCGGCATCTTTTGTCCTGTTGTTTGCTGCCAGTAGTTTGCTGTCTTGTATTCTGTTGTTTAATTGTTTTGTTGTTTGTTATCTGTAGTTTGTTGTCTATAGTTTGTTGTCTGTAGTTTGTCTATCGGTTGTTGTCTGTAGATTGTCTGTAATTTGTTGTCTGGAGTTTGTCTGGAGTTTGTTGTCTGTAGTTTGTATGTAGGTTATTGTCTGTAGTTTGTCTGTAATTTGTTGTCTGTAGTTTGTCTGTAATTTGTTGTTTGGAGTTTGTCTGTCATTTGTTCTTTGTAGTTTGTTGTCTGTAGTTTGTTGTCTGTAGTTTGTTGTCTGTAGGTTGTTGTCTGTAGGTTGTTGTCTGTAGGTTGTTGTCTGTAGGTCGTTGTCTATAGGTTGTTGTCTGTAGGTTGTTGTCTGTAGGTTGTTGTCTATAGTTTGTTGTCTGTAGGTTGTTGTCTGTAGGTTGTTGTCTGTAGGTTGTTGTCTATAGTTTGTTGTCTGTAGGTTGTTGTCTATAGTTTGTTGTCTGTAGGTTGTTGTCTGTAGTTTGTTATCTGTAGTTTGTTGTTTGTAGGTTGTTGTCTGTAGGTTGTGTTCTATAGGTTGTTGTCTGTAGTTTGTCTGTAGGTTGTTGTCTGTAGGTTGTTGTCTGTAGTTTGTCTGTAGGTTGTTGTCTGTAGTTTGTCTGTAGGTTGTTGTCTGTAGTTTGTTGTCTGTAGGTTGTTGTCTGTAGTTTGTCTGTAGGTTGTTGTCTGTAGTTTGTTGTCTGTAGGTTGTTGTCTGTAGTTTGTTGTCTGTAGGTTGTTGTCTGTAGTTTGTCTGTAGGTTGTTGTCTGTAGTTTGTTGTCTTGTGTGGTTCAGAGTCTTTGAAGCAACAGTTCAGTTTCTTCAGAAGCACAAAGAGCTGTTTCAGTCGTCCTCTGATGTCTCATCTGTCCTTCGTCTTTCTCTCTGACTTGTTTACAACAAAATTCACCTCCTGAGTCATCGGGCCGCTTCTGACTGAAGCCAAGAATTCCCCCGAGGCCGAAACATCAGCCGAAGAGTCTCTGCTGCGTTCTGCCGGAGTCCTCGTTGAACGGTTCAGTTTTCCTCCTGGTTTCTCTAAATGTGTCCAGAGTCTGGAAAGTTCTGCAGACGTGAGCGGATTGGTCCGGACCTTCAGACGGAGGCTGGATGTCGACGGTTTAGTGGAAATTCACCCCAGCTGTSAAAACACCACCTCTGTATTCAAATGTTACAAACCCACAGAGTCAAATAACGGCCTGTCATTACAGGAGGACAGATCAGCCACTCATCATCCCAAACTTTAAACTACGGCTGTCTGACACTGGGAAGAGAGTTGTTTTGGTTGAGCCTTATAAAAGTAACGATAAGTGCAGCCTGTCAGCCCTCAGAGCCTCTKTTGTGAGTGACTCTCAGCTACTACCACACCAGGTTTTAGATCAAAATCTACAAAAACTGCCTGAGTTATGGCTGTGGCGGCCATCTTGAATTGTACCAACTCCAATATGTAAACAAGCATCCTGGAAGTTTCCCTAAAATCTGCCCAGTGGTTCAGGAGATATTATGCTAACAGACGTCTTTGCCTTTTGGAGGTGAACAAAAACGAGCATCCAAAACAAATAAAATGATAAAATCACAGCTTTGCTGCCATGAACTCTTGTCTGTTAGCAAAATATCTCATGAACCACTGGATGGATTTTACTGGGATTCAGAAGGAAATCATTGGATGAATGGACTCATTGGAATTCAAGATGGCCGCCACAGCTAACTGAAACATAAACATCTAAAACTTTCAGTTTTACGAATATCAAGCTAATTTTTGGTCTGGTAGTAGCTGAGAGTCATCCTCRTCATATGCTTTGAGCTCTAACTGATAACTAAATTTTAGTTTGAAACGTTGACCTCGAAGCAGCAGGTGATGCATTTTTTGTGTTTTTGAAATAATTGTTTTCCTCTTTCCAGGGCTGGAAGCGACACGGTCACTCCTGCTACCTGGTGACGAGTCACGAGCAGAACTACGAGGACGCTCTGATGGGATTTTACTGCCGAGCTCCTCTTCTGACTGTGGAAAACAGGTRAAAACTGGAAACAGCTGAACAGACTGGAAATGTAGCTAAAAAATAGCACAAAGTTAGATTGAGCAAACAGCTGGTAAGGACAATAAAAAGCACACATTAGCAGAAAAATGAGAAAAGATGCACAAAAAAGTTTCAGTTTATGATTTAATAACTTAAAAAAAGGTGAAACGAGCTGAAAATAACTCCAAAGTATCTCAGATTAGCAGAAAGAAGCAGAACGAGTAAAGGTTTGCTGAATTAAACAGTAAGAAGCTGAAATTACCGTAAAAAAGGTCGTTTGTCGAAAAAAACTAAACTTTGCTGAAATCAGCCAAAAAGTAGCTTCAAAGGCAAAAAATGGCTTAAAGAAGCACAAAAACTTGAAATTAGCAGAAGAATTGCAGAAAATAGTAAAAACATCTGAAACAGCAGAAAAAAGCTAAAATTAGCACAAAGCACAACCAGAGTGAAAGTTAAAAACAGAGTTTTACCATCCATCATCCATCCATCCATCATCCATCCATCCATCATCCATCCATCCATCATCCATCCATCCATTCATCATCCATCCATCATCCATCATCCATCCATCATCCATCCATTCATCATCCATCCATCATCCATCATCCATCCATCATCCATCATCCATCCATCATCCATCCATTATCCATCATCC